TTTTTTTTTTAACGATCTCCCTGTAAATAGTTGGTCAAACCATAATTGTTAAACCCGCCCGACCGTCAATTGCTGAACTGGATAATTAATTTTAAAATTATATATATATTATTTTTGATATATAAATATACATAAAAGTAACAAATAAATGTTCTATATACAAAATTTGTACATTTAAGTGTTAATAATATTGAATCTCACAATAAATATTTGTTATGTCATTATTTAAACATAGTTTTTATTTTTTATAAAAGAAAATAAAAAATTTATAGAGATCGGGTCAATCCGGGTCGACCGAGTCAAGGCCTGGATGGCAAGGTTTTGACCGAGTTGGTCCGGGTCCATTTTTATCCGGTCCAATAATCCACCTAGATCGGTTTCGGCTCCAGATCGACCCGTCAGGCCGGTCCGGGTCACAAAACAATGGTCAAACATTAAATCAAATTCAAACATGTTAATGACGATTTTGTAAATAAGTCATTCATGGTCAAATGTACATATATCACCACTAAATTTGGGCAAGTTGGTCATTTTTTTATTTTTTATTTTTTTGGTGCAGGAAAGGAAGCGAACTACGATCGCTTTATCATGACCCGACGAGGATGGGCCACCCCCGCGGTAACATGAAGTAATCAAAACCCCGCCCCCTCCGGAGGGCGATCAAACCGGTGCAAGCCACATGCTCCTTTAGCCGCAAACGAGGCTAGAAAGTCCGCCACGAAATTAGTCTCTCGATGTCCATGGATAAGCTCAATCTCCCAGGCTCTACCCATAAGATTCTGAATCACGCGAACAAGGCTACTGTGAGGACCACCACAGTCCTCTAGACCAATCTCCCAAGTCAGGTGCAGGCCCTGAAATAAGCCCCAAAGTTCGACTCTCACAATGGAGCAGAAGTCAATATTCATCATAAAACCAGACACCCAATTCCCACAGCAATCCCGTATAACTCCTCCGGCACTGGCCATGCCTGTGGACGGGATATAGCTCCCATTTGTATTAACCTTGAGCGTACCCGGTGGCGGAGCCATCCATGAAAGCCATCACACTCATCCACACCACGTGGGGCCCGCCCTTACCTACCAACCCTCCACTCTTTCTCACACACTAACACACACACATACATACACAAAATTCACGCACACACACCTGTACATACACACACACACACGTGCACACACACACTTCGGCCAGAGGTAGCGGCGGGCGGAGGAGACGCGACATGGCAGTGGACGGAGGCGAGGCGACGCAGCTGTAGACGAAGGCGAGACATCGAGCTGTCTGACAGAGACGAGGCGACGAGGCGGCGCGGCGGTGGACAAAGGGGAGGCATCGAGCCGGCTGATAGGGACGAGGCTATGAGGTAGCGGTCAATGGTGTGGCGACGCGGCGGTGGGCGAAGGTGAGCTGATGCGACGACATATGGAGAACAACCCATATTATCTGCTTGGCCTTTTCGATCTAGCAAATCTTGGGTTTGATGGCGGTAGCATGTTGCGTATTGGTCCAGGACGGCGACAGAGATCGCAGAGGTAGGGCTGGCTGATGCTGACGGCAACTCCAGCAGTCGGTGGTTGACAACGGCGATTTGGGTGACAGAATGGTTTTTTGGGGCTGGGGTTTGTTTTAGGAAATTAAATGTGTTTAATTTAATTATCAACAATATGATTAATTTTCTTCTTGATCCAACATTAGTATCACTCAATTCTTTAATATTATGTCAGAAATTAATATGTCGGCCGGACTTGACATAATAATTTTTTTTGAGCTCATTTTGAAGACGTCATCAACCCAACGGACCGAGACACGGTGAGCGTAAATAATTTCTACAACACATCATACACTCGACATTATTTTACCAAATTAAGCAGATCGAATACGGATTACAAATTAAATTTATTGACGAATCGAATACGAATATTTAAATATTTTCATTAATTTGAATTGAATAGTTGAGTGTTTGTTTCACTTTGATTCCATGACAACGGTACTTGGATGTTATATCCCCTCTAAATTGCAAGAATGTTTTCAAATAAGCGGAGTGATTAGGATGCTGAAGGTTAAAACTGAAGCAAAATCGTGAATTGTTCTTCATTCCACATGCATTAGCCTTAAAAAATAAACACAAGTATGAAATATCTCGAGTTGTAAAAATGGACAATTTAATCACATAAACAGAGGATATATGTAACTGAAATAGTACAAATAAATAAAATTATCTGCCCTTGGACAATACAATGTGACAGTCTTGTTATGAAACAATAGGATGGTTCGACTTATGGAGTTATCCACACTTATTCCTCAATAGTGTATTGACACGTGTTCTACAATAAATACAGTTTGAACATTTTTCAATATATTAAGTGATGGATGACTGCATAAAAAAACCATCCGATGACTCCATATAATTATTTTACAATGTGATAGTATATACTTGTGTGTTGTATGTATTAAATAGAAACATCTAGCTTGAAAAAATGAATTCAGATACGTATTTAATTCCTTTGTGATGTATAGCAAAAATTAAAATTGCAAGTCGAATTTAATATAACATACGGGGTGATTAGACAATATACCATATCTATTGTGGGGGTAGTGGCTATTTACCCAAACTAAAATATGTTCGTCTGAGATCAAAGAAAACAATCGAAAGAGAGTAGATTGAAGGGACAGCAAGAACAATAGGAATTCCTCTTGAATATCGTAAAATGGATCTACATCCAGTAAGTTCTCTTCTCCACCATTGTTGAGATCAATTTTTTTTTTTTTTTTTTTATTTTTCAAATAATTGTTCCTTCATATAATGCAATTCGGTAAATCTTGTAGCATTTGATCTTCACGTTGATTCCTTTTGTAACATTGATGAATATTCAAGGGCTGATCTAATGGCAATATGAGAAAAAATCCCAACTTTTTATATGGGTTTGGTTCAAATAGGTATAGGTTTTGGACCTGATAATATGCTCGGCTGATTAGATATACTACGATTCTTAAATCTTAATGGGGATGTGACCATAAATTTGATTACTCGTCTTAGTGGTAATTAATCCCAAATTTGTTGATTGATCCTGTTGCACATGATATACTTGACAATGTTTGGGCTTTTATGAGGTGGAACATAATTTAGGGAGATGCTACGGTCCCGTTACGGAACCATTTGTAACCGTTGGATCAACTATCCACGACGGTTACATGATGATCTAACGGTTACATATCCCGACGCAATGGTTTCTGTAATGGGACTGTAGCATTTCCCCATAATTTATGTAGTTGAGAGGTGTCTTTAGCAGTATACTGACATCTTTTCAACTTCCCCAATGTGCTGTATATATTATCCTCATGCCTGAGTCAGGTTTGGAATAATGCAAGTATCTGGATAGTGAGCTGTTATTGTTGCGTTTTATTTCGGTTTTAACTGTCGACATTATACGATGGTAGTAACTGAACCAACTCCTATTGCCCATGGCCCATTCTGCTTCCAAATCTCATTTTGAAGTTGTTTGGAAATCCGTCTTCAGTTTCAGTTCAGTGTCCATTGGTCATCTTGTGTTCTGTACATGTTATCTCCTTTTTCAGTTTATCGATTTCTAATATTTATGGCGGACCATTTCAAATATCTACTATGTTATATTGCACCACTAGATTGATTAAAGGCATGTGTTTTATTTAGCGGAGATGTCAGTTTTATAGTTGCGAGATACTAAAGAAACAAGGAGTTATAACACACTCTAAACGGACCCTTCTAATTGGTTATGGTAAATCTTGGTTCAAACTCTTCGCTATTGGGTACAAATAACTAGAAATGAGTATGGTCTGCATTCCCAATTTCTCCTCCAGGCACACACGAGAAGGAAAAAAAAAAGAAGAAATAGTTCAACTATGAAACAAATTTCAGACTATTTCTTTATCTTTGCAGCCTTCGGGAGAGAATTATGCTCATCCTCAGATATGCTTCTTTCACGTGCTTTTTAAGGTGATTACATTTTACTTCCATCTGATCTTTTAATCTTGTTTTGTAGTTACCTTTGTGTTTTTTAGTGTTTTAACATCATGAGTCATGAAAACATTTTCTTTTATCAGGGTGCTGCCTTGGCATTTTATATTCTTTCAGCTCTATTTGTGGATAGTTTCGTGATCATATTTGTGGTCACAGTACTTCTTGCTGCACTTGATTTTTGGGTTGTCAAGAATGTAAGTGGCCGTATCTTGGTGGGCCTTAGGTGGTGGAACGAGATTAATGATAATGGTGAAAGTGTGTGGAAATTCGAATGCCTTGACCAAGAGGTAAGACTATTCTTGTTTCATATGTTTGTCGATTGTCTGTCTACCTGGTTTCTAATCATGTAACCCCATTTTACCATGTTCAGTCGATGGCTCGAATGAACAAGAAGGATTCGTGGCTTTTCTGGTGGACCTTATACCTTACAGTAAGAATTGTGGATTTAGCTACATTATAGGCTACACGTATCATGTATTTAGTTAAAGTAGAAGAAATAGATAACTATGTGATCAATACATGAGAATAGGGTTATTGAAATGCGCATTACAAGAATGTCCAACAAAAGAAAGAAGGAAATATCTAAAACAATTTTTAAGTTTGTGTTATTGAATATCTTATCCCTTCAAATATTAGCCTTGTCTCTCTGTCCTCTGCAGGCCGTCGCGTGGATCTTTTTTGCTATTTTCTCTCTGATTAGATTTCAAGCTGATTATCTTCTTGTTGTTGGTGTATGTTTGACCCTTAGCATCGCAAATATCATTGGCTTTACTCGATGCCGCAAAGGTAAATGGCTGACTGATCTCTTTTTCAAGTGTTAGATTTTCCTTCGATTTTTTGATAATATTTGGATTTATAAAAGTCATGTTGATGGTTGTAGGAGAATTTAGAGCATTCCTTGTTTGCAGTTACAAATTTTCCGAATAAAAGTTAGATTTAAGAGCTTTACACTTTTACAGAACTGTTGAACATGATTTTTTTGGATTATGGATAACTTGCTAGCATGTTTGCATATATTTATCATTAAAATTGTGGTAAGGCATAAAATAGATCAGTGGACCTTCAAAATTATACTGGCAGGCGAAAGAATGCTTTAGTAATCGTCTATTTTTTATGAATGCTCAGTAAGTTTTGTGCATTTTTCAATTTGGTCAATCATTTTTCGAATAGATACCTGGCACTTACAACCTTAAGTGTAGTGAATGTGTTATCTACCTTATATATGTTGCTAATATATCAAATCTATGTACAAATGCTATATAAGTTTTCTCATTCATATTTTTCGATCAACAATGGTGATGTTATCTATTAATTTATTTATTTTAGTTGTATGAGCACTGGTTTGGAATTATTATGCCTTTTGTGTTGACAAAACTGTTCATTTTTCTTTTAATTCAACATAGAAAGAATGAATGATAATCATCCTAGCATTGGTACTGTTCCTTTTTCTTTTCCCCCTTGAGGAATAATCTTTGATCTTTGTTACAGATGCTAAGAAGCAACTTCAAGCATTTGCCACACAAACACTTGCTTCTCGTGTATCGTCGACCATTCAGTCAGCTTTTAGTGTTGTTTAATCTCATACACAATTAGACGCAAGGGAAAAGAGCGCATAATACATATGTATTCATCTGCAGAATGATGGTGTCCATTATTGATCAATTATGTTGTCAAAAGTGGAGTTACTTTTGTGTTCTTCCATCATTTATATACTGCAGCAGAAGTAGGAAATATTGGTGTAAAATTTTCCTTTCGAAAGGGTTTGTAATACTTGGAAGGTGTACCTTTGTCTTGGAAAATATGTTGAAATTGTCGTGATATAATTTTTACCTTTCATCAGAGATGGCAATATTATTGTGCTCATTTCTAGTTGCAGGACGACGTAAGGATCTGCTTTGCTCTTCTCCTTCCTTATTGTGAGAGAAACTTCTATTTCCTTACCATGTGTGTTCTTTAAAGTCATGAAAATGTTGATGTAGTGAGGTCGATCTGGCTTATTTTTTGAACGAAAATACATTCGTGGTGTTAAAAATGATAGAACTTGCTTATTTCGTAAAATTAGTTTACAGCCACTTACACATTTTTCGAATACTACAAATAGTATTTTCTTTCATTTCACAAATTGTATGCGTCAATTTTCATTGCAAAAAGGGGTGACAAGGTGATAAATTGGCTATCAATCTGTATAATAAATAAGGATTTTAAACTATTTCAGAATTTAAACTACTATTCCAGTGAATTTTGAAGATACATTGATTCACACATTTTTTTCATGCAAGGGTGCACTGATTTCATTTACAGAATCAATTTTTAGTTCCTTTTCTGAAATCACTAATCAACTTTACTTATTTCCTTCTCTCTCTACGAACGCCACTGCAGAGTTACGATAATGGTTGTTGATCCTCAGAGATCAAATGAAGAAAATTCTTTAACAAGTTTAAAGTAAGGAGACTGAGCGTACACGGGAAGACAAGGCTGATAGCCCGAAAAAAGGCAATCAATAACTAACAAGATATTGACAGCACAAAGTATGTCCAACACAAAGCATCATCCAAACCTTCTGCCATTATTTCGTTTGAGAGAGACAACTTTCAGTAGGAAAATGAATTGATTCGTGCTCAGGTACTGATGGGCCACGAAGATCATCTGCCCAGTAGAGCAACACGGTCTTTTTGCACAGCTTGGGCCAAATTAATGTCAAACAGCTCACACCGGATAGGCATCTCCATCTCATAGAATGGGTTCTTCAGAACATAATCAGTGTACAACTCGTATATATGCTTCAATAGAGCTTCCATGTGCAGAGTTCCAGGCTCACAGACCACAAAGAACTTTGTACCTACAACAAAAACAATTTAGTTAAAAACTTTTTTTAATTTTCGTTGGGGATCTGAAACTAGTAAAATCATAAGACAAAAGGCTTTCACGAATCTTAGCTAAATCAATCACTAGTCCGAAAAAGGGGAAGCCAAAAAAACATATAAATGAAGTTCGAATATTCAGCTATAGACATATACTGTCAGCCCGGACATACATCCCTGGCATAGTAAACATCGGGAAATATAGTAAAAGAACCTGAATTAGTATAGACATCATCCCAAAAGGATTAGACATGAATACATGATATACCACACAATTTGCTTAATGATTTTCATGTTATGAAAGTTACTGAACTATCTATTTTTTGGTTCGACAAAACACTAATCAGGACTGAGCATGGCAAGACTTTACCCGTGTGAAACCTGTCCAATTCAATCTTCAATTCTAAGCAAAAACGTGCGCGTGAAAAAAAAAAAAAAAAAAAGAATAATTATATTCCATCCCAACATTCACCATCAAGCCCAACAGCATCAGTTTTATCAAATTAACTATCAGAGTTAAGTGTAGACCATGAAAAACATTGGATTCAACAGGGCCCATCAAACCCAATAACATTTGTTGCATAAAACATACTGCGTAATTAGTTCCATCACAAACGTAGGAAGCTCCCAAATATTTCATGTAACAAGAATTGGAAAAGATAAAAACAAGAAGAAAAAAAAA